GGGGGGGGGGGGGGCAGAAGCATACCAAGTTTTAGCCCATAAGGAATGTATAACTTACTAAAAATTGAGAGTGCACACTGATTACATTTATTGACCCAAACCCATGTCTTTGTACATACAAAGCTTTTTAAAATAAATTCAATTCAGTGAAAGTCAAATCTTTAGATAAACTAGTCTATTTCTGATCATTTCTAGTCTGTCTCACCATCACAATCCAATCTTTACCACAGACTCATCTATGGAGCTAACAATTCTTTAATTTCCTGATGAGATTGCAAATGTTATACATTGACTTAAATACTGGTTGAGTCGGATCACTTGGTAGACACAAGGAAGATGAAAGCAAACAATAAAGGATATAATTTGAGCTTTAGTATTTGTCTTTTACTATGATTTATTTCACATGCAGATAGAACCTGTGACTTCTTTGGTGAAAACCCACTTTTAAATCCCACAGCTCCCACTGGGAACACCATGTCTCTATGAAGTTTAAATCAGCACACTGAGTTTAAAGACCTTAGAAAAGTCAGCTTCTAACATTTGCTATTGCCAAAGTCAGCTTCTAACAGTTGGTATTTCCTAACTTTAACCAAAGCAAAGCTGGCATTGTTATAGTAATTATGTTTTTTTTAATGTACAGGAATAGCAGATGTAAGTATTTCAGTAAAGAGTTTTAAGCTGTTTTTATTTAGAAGTAAATAAAACTTATTTCTATCTGCTCTATGAAAGCATTATAAACAAAGCAAGTGTGATGTGGGGAGAAAAACCTTTGCAGTATTGCTTGAATATATAACTATCTGTGGCCTAAAGAGGCTTATTTGCTCCTTAAGGCAAGTAAAGAATTTAGTATCTTATAACTATTAGAGATTACTCATTGATGGAGTAAAAAATATAGTCATAATTGAGGTCACATCATGCTTTCATGAACTAATGATCTCTTTATTAATGACCCAAATGTGTTGCAAAGTGATTTAGCAAAAATGCATGTTACATGGTTTATGAAGTTCTGCAGTGACTTGTGTTGTCTTACTTTTATATAACTACATTATATATACAATTTAGGGTTTTTTCCTCATCTGTGTTTGAAAGATCACATATATTTTGGTTTTTGACAGGATTAAGAATAGTTTGGTTTGTTGGTTTTTTTTAAGGACTCTTAAAATGCATGGAATTTTGTTTCCTACTTTACAACTGTGTGGATGATATTGGTTTATTTGGATTTTTTAATTTCTCTTGGTCAAATTTTGTTTTAAGACTTGCATCTCAGAAAGCACGGCTGAGTCTCATTCATGTTCTGTCACTGACTTCTGCTTCCAATATACTTTGCTGACACTCAATTGCTATCACTTGCAACAAACTGCTGTCTGGAAATGAATTGTGGATCTTTATTCTTTGTACACAAGCACCACTCCAGCCGTGGCTGACTGATAATTTTGTTGAAGTAGAGATGCAGAACAGAACAGTTTACTCCGCAAGTCTCTACTCATTATGACTGTGGATAAGGACTTTTTTTTTCACAGGTTTCTCCACAAAGCCAGGTGACAGACAGCATTTATGTGGAGAGCTGAAAGGCTTTGATTGCTTACTGATTAGAGGAAAATCCTGCAAGAATGACTTCTGTAAAGAAGGCAGATGAGGAATGATGCTCTTGTCATGAGCTGCAAGACAAACAAGAATGTAATGAACTAAGCAATAATGAAGTCACCTCTGAATTTTGTTTGCATATGTACAAGAGAAAGGCCTTGCATCAGTAACATGACAGGATGCATCAAAATATCAAAACACTGGACAGCACGCTGTATCAAAAGAGTGGAGGACTTTGATCTTCACATTTCTGGGGTTTATTCAACTCTTGCTTTAGCTTCTGGTGAGAACTATGAACACAGTAGCAGATGATCTCAGGGCTGATCTAGTGTGCCACTGCATAGTTTCTGTATCTTAAAACTGTTCAATTTTTATTTGGTTTAGAAATCATGAAAAACAATGTAGGGGGAGGGGAGTAGAAAAACCCAGATCAAAAAGACTAATATATAATTGAGGTTTCTCTTATAGTATGACATAATTCTGTAATTGTGTTCTTAGTTCTATTTTTTGTACCTCTGATCAAGCAGAACATGCTAAAGATGAATTTAAGCTACACTCTGTCCCTTTGAGGGCTCTGTGGGCTAAAACCAGAGTATCCTTTCTACCAGAATACATAGAAAGTTAGGTCAGTGTTGAATAATGTATTACCAGAGTATGATAGCTCAATAGCCTGTCTTCTCCCCCACAGTGTCCTGTTTTACATGTACATATTCTCATCTTATCTCAACCTTAGCTCCTCCTCTTCCAATTGCAATACAGTCAGAAATACTAGAAGAAACCCATATCTCCTAATTTCCTTTAAATTTGTATTAAGTAGAGAAATATTTATATTTTCTACAGAGATACATATGTATATATGCATACATAAATACATACATATAAAGGAACCTTTTCTATTATCTGTTCTTTTTACTGTATTGTTTGTCTGGTTAGTGTTTGACCATAACCAGGACTGTTAAGAACTGATGTTAATTGTAAGTATTTACATTTATCCTAAGATATAACTTGACAGTATTAACGTTATTATTGGCTTCACCTGTGTCTCTACAAAGCAGGTAATAGGAAAAAAAACATATTCCCTTCCTACCATTCAAACAGATGTGGAGAACCAACCCTTATCTTCTCTACAAAAAAAGCTCCTTTAAAAAAGATAAGCAGTCTTTGTGGTCATGTTGAAATATGCTGTTGACTACCAAGAGCTGCTAAGCAAATTTTTAAGGTGCTGATATAGTTTCCTAATCACTATTTTATACCTTTAAATACTCCAAGGAAATAGTGACTGTTTAGTAACTCTCTGCATCTGCTATAAAATGCATGTTTAGATTTCTTTTAAACAAAGATCAGATAAAAAATTTAGCTTCTTCAGTGTTGTTTACCCATAGCTTTTAAACATTTTCATTTTGTGCATAAACCAATTTCAAAGTATGCTGAAAACTACAGATATTAATGTACTCAAAATAGAAAATTAGTCAGTGAAGCAAGAATGAGCATAGTTATACTGAAAATAACCTCTGGATCCCTATAGCATATTTTTTTGCAAAGTAAGATGTATTTACTAATTATAAAATACTTGCCCAATGTCCATATTTTAATTTTTTTAAAAAATAGTATTATAAAAACTGAAAATGGGAAAAATTGTCATAATTTTAGTTTCAAAGCAAAATGAAGAAAGAATTCAGTGCACTTACAAATACAACCAAGTGTGCCAGCCTGCAGCGTCAGGAAAAGCAAACTGCAAACATGACATTTCTGTGCAAACAATAGTTATTATTGACTTGAATCTACTTAAATTGTCCCCATCTAAGCTCTTCAGAGTTAAAGGACAAGGAGCACAAAAACTGATTTCACATGTTCAATCCAGCTATCACACTAGTAAAAGCTATATACCTCTCTTGAAATAGCAGGAAAACAACTGCACATAGGTCATCACATAATTAAAATTGTTATAGTGACAATAAAGCAGCAGACAACTTACTGGAGTCAATTAGTTAGTCCCTAAATATTTTCTAGAGTGACTAACATTTTGTTTAGACAAAGCAAAAGATCCTGAATTTCCTGAGTCAATGCAGCATTTAATATTTCTGTTAAAATTTATTTCATTTTAATTTAGTAAAATTAATTTCAAGATAGGTGTCCTTAATTTTTATTTGGCTGCATGTAAAACTTCTTTGTGTGCTTTTGATTCCCACCCACATCCATTACACCTGCAACAAAGCTGGCTTGGGTTTGATTTGATTAGGCATATCTTTCCTAATTACATTCTTAAGAAGGGTGATGGAGATGAAAAATGTATATACAATAATTTAAATAATAGGTGACTCTGAAATATGAGAAAGAAATCCTGTGACTGCTTCTGTTGAGAGTGACAAATAAATTAAAATATTACATTTAAACTCTGGATATGCTGACAGTACTTTGCCTCTAGAAATAAGTTCTAGGGAGTTTGCTATAGGCAGCTCAGTAGAATCAGCTTGTTCCCTATGAAGACTTGCTTCGAGGAAGTTCCTAGAGCTGGAAGTTTGTGTTTAGCTTGATGGGGAGCTGCAACTTTCCGTCTATTCATCTTTAGACCTTAAAAACACCCTGACATGTCAGTCCTGCATTTCTAGATCCTGCCAAGAAATTGCTTATTAGTCTGGTTGTACTTCCATGGTCATTCTCCACAAAGTTACACTATCATAACTCACTAGCTAAAGTACATTAACAATAGTTTCTATTTCCTTTTATCTTATATCTTGTTGTTCATAAATATTATCTCAAATTAAAAGAGATGAAAATGAAATTAAAGAAAACCAGAATTCATCACATCTTTTCTATGAAAGGGTTATGAAAATATGATGGGATTGTGACTCCCTTTCACAGGATTTCTTAACATTATTTTGGGTCAATTTTAAGTGCTGCAAATCAGTGCAGCTCCTAACCTTGCAGTGAAAGATGGCAAGTTATACCAGTTCAGCATCAGGCTTATTTTAGCAATTCTTATTGTATTTTTTAAAAATAATCCTGTTATTGATGTTTTATATCAGTGTAAACATTCAATTGTTTATAACAGAATTAGAACAAATGCACATTATTTTCTTTAACAACTGAACAAAATAATTTAACAAAACCTTTTATAGTAGAGTCAAGGTAAGAAATCTTAACAAAAGTATTGTTAGAACCTTGTGCTATTTCTATCTTTTTAATTTGTCCAGAGTTTGTTTCCAGGTGATGTCCAATATAAATATTTCCTGTTTTAAAATTGAGAGCACCTGTGGATAGACAAATCCTGTGAAGTCCCTTCAGCCCTGCATGACCTCCATTGATTTTTTTGAAACCTTGAGCTGTTCTTCAGTTGGACTGATGGGCATTTCGAAGATGCATTGCAGTAGGTTCAAAAAACTGGAAGAAAAGTTTAGATAAAAGTTTAAGCTATATGTTGTTATGAAGTTAACAATCATCTGATTTCTAACTGTCAGCAGACATAAACAGAATTGCATCACAACGGAGAACCCTCTTAGAATATGATGTTTATTACCTGGATCATCAAAGCTCAACTGTAAGTATTATATGGCAACGTTTTCTCCTGACCTTTATTTTTCCATTGTTTAAACTTGTACATGATGTAACAATAAAACACACTGCAAGCTTTAACATCTCATCTTCTCCTTCAACCTGTTATGTAAGTCTTTTTCTGCCATCATACTATGGTCTCTGTGTCCAAATAATATCCAGGACTCAACATATTTAACATATTCAGTGACTTTGTACCTTTCCCTGCTCCCAAAAATAAAAGCTGGCCTTGGCTTGTTTTACTGCAGTTTATCATCAAAACTTTAACATAATATTCTTCTTTAGTTTGATTCACTCCATCCTTCTGTGTTTCATTACATTAAAAACTGTAATGCAACATTACATATAAAATTTAAGACAGGTTACTTTAGTAAGAAGATGTGTAAGAAGATGCGATAACAGCATGTCATTGTGAATGATATGGCAAAGGCAGACTTGTATTCTTCTCATTATAAGGGCACTCTTTGCATTTTAAATCAAGCAAATTTTAAAATAAACTAAAGCATGCAATTTACCTACCAAGGTCACTGTCATAAATTGGTATTCAGCTCAAGGGCTTAGCAAGATTTAAAAATAAAAACAAAGCCAAAGAATGCTGTATGACAAAATAAAAAGCTAGAACAACTTTTTTCATCAGATAGGTTTGTTCTCCTTTCAAGAACTTCTCTATCTGGCTAATCTAGACAAATGTGTATTGTTAGTTACTGTAAAGAGCTTTTTGTGGATGGCCAATATTACTGTACTCTATGGAGTAACACACACCATAGAAACATGCCTGTTCCATTTTGCATGTGTAAATCACAGAGATGTCACATCTTCAGAACTTCCATCTAAATTAATTACAAACTGACCTTACGAAGTGAGAGAGTAACTCCTCTTGCAAGTAACTTTAATGATTTTTTTTCATATTATAAATGGCAGTGATATTGCTTTAGTTAAGCATCTGCCAGCCTTACAGTTATAAAACCTGAGAGAAAGTAGGGCTTATCATACAAGTATCAGCATTTTTTGTGGTCTAAAAACTGGCATCTGATATATCAACTGTGAGTTCCTTCATATACATATGTTCAAGTACTTCCTTTTTTCTACTTTTATGTTGTCCTTTGGTTATATTAGGTTCTAACAACATGCTGTCTAGCAAAATGCAGGCGGAGAACTATATTAGCTTCCTTTCTATACTTTTACCAAAACAATTGTTGTCCTGCAACACTACTGCTATTGCACAATGCAAACCAGTTTATATTGAAATATCTTTTATGTTTTGGGTTGCATGGTGGATGACTGCTACTTAATAAGAATGTTTTCCCACTTGTTCCAATGAATAATAGAACTATTTATTTAAATAGTAAGGCCAGAAGATAACTTTATCCCCATCCATGTATAAAAAGCATTAAATTGAAGCATTTAATTTCATACAGGATTTTTTTTCATTTTTTCTTTCATAGAATGCTGCCATTTTGCTTTAAAATGTAACAAAGATTAGCTTTACAATGAAAGTTTGCTAGTAAATTTCCTGGTTTGCTGAGCTGGACTTGATTCAGTATATATGGAATTACAAATACAGAGTTCAGTCTAAGATACTTTTGCTATCTGCCCAGTCCTGGCTTCTCTGAAAAATAATATTCAAATGTTTAAAGGCATACATTTTATTAGAAACACTTTCTTCATTATACAAATTTCCAAATCCTAAAAATTATCTGTAATTAACATACTCTGAATTTACATGTATAGTAAGAGGAAGGGTGATTAACCTGAAGTCTTCCAAAAAGATTAAATAGAGGGGGAAGAAAAAGGTACTCCAAGGAGCACTTTGAAAAGTACTCAAGCCTCAAGATTCTTATAAATATTATCAGATACAATCCACAAGAATGACTTCCTCATTTCTGTAACATATGGCCCATTACTTAAGCCATAAGAAAACTGCTTAGTAGTGCACAGAAATACTACCAAATAGCTTAGGAGAGAGCTCCTCATTTCATGCAACTCTGTGTCATTCTAGCTGATACTCTGAATCCAAAACATGAAATAAAAAACAATTTTTGCACTTCCTTCAAGGTCAAAGGATGGGTCTGGCCAGAAAATAGTAATATGCGTTGAAAATTACCTCTTATTCTAGTGCTAATAACCTGCTTTTACAAACAGATTCATGAAATGCTTCTTGATTTATTCTATATGCACTGTCCAAAGACAGGAGGTGGCCGTTCAGTTTAGGAGTCTCCACAATGACAGACTTTGGTGAATGCTGTCCTGCACTCCAAACTACGCTAATCAAAATCCTAGAAAGCGGCACTACATGAACTTGTACACAGGAAATTTGGTTATTTCAGTGAACTGATTAGATATTTTCTTCCATTTTGGTTTTTAAACAAAAGCCAAATGAACTCAAAGAAGTAACTCAAAAAAGAAAAGTTAATACACCTGAAACACTGCATAAAATGCACATTCTAAATTAAATTAAATTTCTTAACTCAATAACACTGTACCAATATTTCATCTTTTGGGCTTGAGCCTGTGATTTGAGTTGAACCGGCCTTTAAGAACACCATGCTTTGTTCACCTAACTTTTGTATATCCTCTGCTTGAATGGAAAGGCTACATATATTGAAAACATTCTTAAAGCAAAAACAATCCTGGATTTCCATGAAAGTACCAACTGGTATTGAATTAGAAACCTAGCAATGTATATCACTGTCATTATTAGTTACAACTGAGTACACAAACAGGTAAAATGTAATTTATGAAGAAAAGTTTGATCAAGACTTTAAGTAATTTTTAACATTCTTCATAATTCAAAATACCCTGGCTGTCAATACAGTTCTGTATTCTGAATCTTGCTGCTGGATTTCTGTCATTTTATAAGGCTACTACAGAACGTAATTTCTGAGTTTGTAAGCATGTTTGTGAGCTTGCAAAAGTGGCATTTTAGAAGTCAGCACTATGTTCTAGACTTAAGAAGTATTTTAAAAGCCTTGTTCTATTATAACTATTAATATACAGTGTAAATATTTCATCAGTGCCGAGGGAAATGGCAACTATGTTTCAAACATCACTAGATCCAAAATGTGAATGGTTCAATGAAATCACTGGAGTTATGGCAAGCTACACAAGCCGAGGAACTGGCCTCTAAAGAGAAGCTGTAGTATTTATCCATGAGCCTTTTTAATACTTCCCTTCTCCAATTGAGATAAGTAATTTGCACACATAGTCAATATTTTAATAGCGGGATCAGTAACTCTGGCACAAATGCTAAATTTAGCACTGGGCAGATTTTGAGTGGCCAGGAGTTAGCAGCTGTGACCTCTTGAGAGAGACATCTGCAGGAACATTTGTAAGAGGTAGTGCCTCCTATCTTCCTGCCCTCCTGCTTTTGTATAAACTGCTTGGCAGCACACTCCATCTTTGAGAGACAGCATTTTCCAGATCATACAAGTAGCAAAAATCAGCAAAATTAGAGGCTAGTAGCCTCTGCTTCAAGCAGAGGCAAGATGCAACCAATCAGCTGATCAGCACTGTCTTGTTACTTTGAACTGCAACATCTCTTGGCTGTCCATGAGATTTCCCTTGGCCTGCTTTACCTCGCATCTAGGAAATAAAGGTACAATCTGCTCACCACTCACTCCAGATTGCCAGCCTCTGTTTTTATTGATGGAGGGACTTTGTGCATTCAGTACTATCTAAATACCATCATTATCTCTCTAGCTGTCCTAAATAAAGCTAAATGTACCAATCATATTGACTGCAATGTACAGTGAGATTCAAAAACTCTATGGCAACGAGGCAAATGAATGTATTTTTTACCAAGGAAATGGGACACCATTAGCTGTATTTAGGCAAAAGGGAGAAATTAGAGAATTAAAGCATTGAAGACTTAAAGTTTAATGACTAATCACTGCCTGATTATTCTAGACAGGCTCAATTTGCAGGGCACATATCTCTTCTGGACCTCATGGATATGTGAAGACATGATCACTCTCTGCCTGATTCAAACAAACTTAAGCAAAGAATTTAGCAGCTTGATCTACATAAAGCAGTTCAGCTATATGAAGAAACAGGAAAAATCAGTGTTAAAATGTATAAAAACAGGGACTCCTGATTCACAAACTGTATACTGCAGTTCTCAATTCTTCACAATATGGATAAATGTTTAGAATGAATAACTTTTCTGGGGAGGCTGTTATCTTATTATCTCACTGGGCAAACCTTAGGAGATATTAAAATTCTTATCTCCTTCACTGTCTTGCTTCAGCAGATTAATTCTACCATTCTGTACTGAAGATAGGAAGATTAAGAAATGGAAGATTTAAGATTAGCTTGTTTGCTGAGAATGGTGTCATACGTTGTCTTACACAATGTTTTCTGCTCAGTGCAACATGGCATAGAGATAAATGTTTACATTTCTCATCTTCAAATAGCCTTTTTGCATTGTACTGAGTGCTGCTACTACTGGAAGCCACGGCTGATTTTTTAGAGAAATCTATTACCAGTAACTTTTCTCAGAAGGGACTGATTAACTGCAGTTACAAGACTAAATGAACAATTAAAATAATATTAGTCAAGTAAACACATTACATATTATAAGCAAGTATTCAGAAATTCTACTACTCACTTCCATTGTGTCTTTTGAAAGATAAACGACCCAGTACACGAGGTTGAATCCTGCAAATGCCACTGGAAAGAGGATCCTAGAATACTGGTCTATTTTACTTGTGCCTCCAATAGGAGGTGGTGGGGGGGGGGCTGGTGGAGGAACAGACAGTGGTTGACACTGGGGTGCACTATTTGTTATTATGCTGGCTTCAGGAGACAGATCTGCCTGAGATGTTATGGTGTTTACTCGCTTCTTCAGGTTACAGTTGGAGTCAGAATGCTGTGGAAAAAAAACGAAAAAGAAGGAAAAAAAGAGTGATTTTTGGATACAGTCTTAGGTTTTGTGTTCATTAAGCTTCTCTCTACCTTTTCACTCAACTTTCTGATTTTATTACTGCTTCTCTGCTACAGAGCAACCTAAGGAAATCACAAAAATAATGCAAATATACAGAGGTACATTTGTTTCCTAAAGCTTTGCTATAAAAACACAAAAGAATATTGCTTTCCATATTTTTAACATAGTAACAAAAAGAAGCTGTAAGAGAAAAAGAAAAAGACAAGATGGAGCTTGAAGGAAAAGAAAGTAATGGTGTATCTAAATTGCAATATATTGGGATGACTGAAGTTTATATAGCTATGAATCAAGTTTAAACAAAATAGGACATATGGGCTGGCTCAAGTGCAGTCTTCACTGTGTGAGCCCATCGATGAATTCTCGTAAACACTCACTGAATACAGTCAAACTGTCATGCTGTTATTAGTCCCCAAACTAGCTGCTGATGAACTAGAAAACTGCTGCACAAACGGAAATGGACCAACTTTACAGGTGCTGAAGACATGAATGATAAATTGTCCTGTATTTTTTTTCTAGGATGAGATTTCATTTTCATATATATCTCATGACTCCCACAGCAGATTCATGCATACCACTGAAGACAAAAACTCATCCTAACTGTAATGGGACTATTTTAATTTTCATTTATAGTAACATGAAAACAATTTTTTTTTGTGCAATATTCATAGCCAGCTCCAATTATTCTTCAGAAAACTCTACAAAACTCTTAAAAATTTAGCCAGACCTCAGAAACATTTAGAGTTCGCCCCTTAGGTGCTAGGCTGACATGTATATTCATTATGTACACCTATTTTATTTGTGTCTAAGTTGAAATTATTTTTACTTTCACAAGAGTAGAATGGATTTCTTCCTTGCAGAAATGGCATAGGAATAGGATCTACCACATGCTCTAAGCCTGCTCTATGGATATATCAGTTACCCACTTTCACAGTAGTATCGAATGGGAGGAAATTTTCAAAAATCTTGCTGCTACTGCTACAGCCCAGGACTACCATTAGTAATGTGGATGCACGGTAGCAGCCATTAGATTAATCTGATGGCTGAGAAAATACAGAAGAATTTGATGGCTGAGAAAATACAGAAGAATTCCTAGAGTGTCAATCTGGTTTTTATTGTCTTGATATGAAGTACTCAAGTTTTCTGTTAATAGGGAACAACAGAAATACCTTAGATTCTAAAAAGCAATGCTAATTTACAACATTTTAGGTGAGTATAAAGCTTCACCAATGAAGGACTGCAAAACTTATTTCCAGATTATTGATGAAAAATCTTGTGCACAAAATTGCACAACATATGCAGCTATTCTTAGGTTTCAATAAGCAGCTTTTCTGGCCAGCAGAACTAGATGACAGAATGACTGAAGCTGATGAGGGAAGTCTTATAACTTACAATACAACAGCATATTAACATTTGGAGCAAGTGCTCCAGCTACATGGCCCAAGTCACAGAAGGCAAAGGCAAGGACTGGGACAGTGAAGAACCACCCACTACAGAAGATCAGGTCCAAGACCATCTAAGGAACCTAAAGGTGCCCATGGGACCTGATGAGATGCATCTGTGGGTTCTGAGGGAACCGGCAGATAAGTGACTAAGCTACTATACATCATACTTGAGAAATCATGGCAGTCCTGTGAAGTTCCTGCTGACTAGAAAAGTGGGAACATAACCCTCATTTTTAAAAAAGGAAAAAAAGGAAGACCCAGGGAATTACAGGCCAGTCAGTCTCACCTCTGTGCCCAAAAAGATCATGAAGCAGATCCTCCAGGAAACTATGCTAGGGGACATGGAGAATAAGGAGGTGATTGGTGACAGCCAACATGGCATCACTAAGGGCAAATCGTGCCTGACAAATCTGGTGGCCACCTATGATGGAGTTACAGTGTGTGGGAGTGCCAGCTCTGTACAGCTGTGGGAGATTCCATATGTTACTGGTAAATGATTAAGAGGCAAGTTGGCATTGGCCTGTCAGCCCTGCACAGCTGTGAGAGATTCAATTTAAGAGGCAAATTTACATTGGCCTGAGAGCTCTGTGTAGGCCTGGAGAAGAAGAAAGGCTTGGAGGAGAAACAGGCCTGAGAAGAAAGATAGGAAACTGCCAGGCAGATGGCAGGGAGAAACAACGGACAGCTGTAATGCTGAGCTCTGGAACAGTATGGAACTGTTAAGGGAAGAACACCTGATGTCCTCTACCTGGACTTGTGCAAAGCATGTGACACTGTCCCACATGACATACTTGTCTTTAAGTTGCAGAGACATGGGTTTGATGGATGAACCACTTGCTGGATAAGGAACTGGCTGGATGGTCTCACTCAAAGAGTTTTGGTCAACAGCTCAATGTCCAAGTGGAGAGAAGTGACGAGTGGCATCCTCACAGGCTGGTGTTGGGACCAGCACTGTTTAACATCTTTGTTGGTGACATGGGCAGTGGGATCGAGGCACACTCAGCAAGTTCATTGATGACACTGAGCTGTGTGGTGCGGTCAACACACTGGAAGGAGGGATGTGTCATCCAGGGGGACCTGGACAGGCTGGAGAGGTGGGACCATTTGAACCTCATGAAGTTCAACAAGGCTAAATGCCTTGTTACAAGGTCCTGCACATGGGTTGGGGCAATCCCAAGCACAAATCCAGGCTGGGTGAGGAGTAAATTGAGAGCAGCCCCAAGGAGAAGGACTTGGGAGTATCAGGGGATGGAAAACTGACTATGAGCCAGCAATGTGCATTCACAGCCTAGAAAGCCAACTGTGTCCTGGGCTGCATCAGGACAAGTGTGGGCAGCAGGGTGAGGGAGGGGATTCTCCAAATCCACTCTGCTCTTGTGAGACCCCCCTGCAGTGCTGTGTCCAGCTCTGGGGCACCAACATCAGAAGGACTCGGACCTGCTTGACTGAGTTCAGAGGAGGCCTCATGATGGCCAGATGATCAGGGGCTGGAACACTTCCCTTATGGGGACACAATGGGAATGTTGGGGTTGTTCAGCCTGGAGAAGGCTATGGGGGAGACCTTATAGTGGCCTGTAGTACTTAAAGGGAGCTACAAGAAGGATGGGGAGGAACTCTTGATCAGCGAGTGTAGGGATAGGACGAGCGGTAATGGTTTTAAACTAAAAGAGGGCAGATTTAATTTAGATGTAAGGAAGAAATTCTTCCCTGTGAGGGTGGTGAGAGACTGGCACAGGCTGCCCAGAGAAGCTGTGGCTGCCCCCTCCCTGGCAGGGTTCACAGCCAGGTTGGACGGGGCTGTGAGCAACCTGGGCTGGTGGAAGGTGTCCCTGCCTGTGGCAGGGGGATGGGACTAGATGATCTTTAAGGTCCCTTCCAACTCAAACCATACTAGTATTCTAAGAATGGTTTTAAGGTAGCAAAATTCTGATACATATGCAAAGTCATTCTTTGGGAGTGATTTAGTGACAAACATTCACTTAAATGAAGCCCACTGTTAGCATTTTTGGAATTTATCTCACAGGATTTCTATGCACGGAAACAGATTTTAGTCAATCAGAAAAATGAGTAGGTCACTAAAAGGAAAAGCAAAATTTTCTGAAACACATTGCCTATGCCCGTACTTGGGCCACAATTTCTAGATAAAACACTAGCCTAACAGACCTGGTATCTCATGTATGACTTAAAATAAGAGTTTAACAGGAATTATCCTTTCACTGGTCAATGTTACTGCCAGAGTATCAGAACAAGTGATGTTGCTACAATGTGATGGTAAGTTCTGCTCATGGATGAATGGACTGGTATCCAACTGAAATTAGGGAGAGATGGATTCCTCACAGCTGATTTTAGTCTAAGAGGTACAGACATCTTATTTGAAAAAAAAAAAAGAAAGAAAAAAATGCTTTTTCTGTATGTATCTCTTTTACCTATTGCCCCTTTTCTTCCCCTACAACCCATCAACACTTCCAACTTTCCATATTCCTCCTTCTTCCACTTTGCCATCTACATATTAAATGATTCGTACCATGTTTTGAATAGACATTAAATGGCATTCATATTCTGGGGCTGTGCCTACTTGGAACACAGATGTTTGCTTTTGTATTTTCCAGTAACACAGCAAGCAACAGACAGATCTAAATGGGGGACTGTTCACTGGTGTGTCACAGAAACAGTTATCTATGTCCACTTGCACTAATCATAACAATAATCCCAATCTATAAACAACTGACTGACAGAGCCTGGGCTCTGCTTTCATTCAAGCTCCTATTCCATTCTGCTTGTATGCCCTGCTTTGAACTGAACTGTAGAAGTCATAAGGTAGCTTGGTTTTCACTTTACTGCAAGGTAGTTTGACCTTTTGTGGAGAATGAGTGGTTCCTAAATGTATAAGTATAAGGTGAATCTTAGCAATTTTTATCTGTAATATTATGTTATCAGGTGGGTCAAATTCTGCTCTGGATCATTCAAGCATGAATCAGGAATTATTGTATTGAGGTGATGGAGTTAATAGTAGGCAGAACAGATGTAGCATATGGTCTGCGGATGATGTTCAGTACTAAACCTATTTGGAATGTAGAGGTAGTAAAATCACTGTGATCATCTGAATAGGCACTTGAAAAAGTGTAATGCTTGTCATTATTTATAATATTTATTAAATCTAATTCCTATAGAAGGAGGATTGTTATAGGAGAAGGATTATCTCAATGTGATTTCATCTCAAATTGGAGACAAGAATATCTGGAGTCAGTGTTAGTGAACTCCCTCAGAGATTGGGGAGCGCACTAACTAACTTTGAGGCCAGTTTAAGTCTATTTCTATCAATGGAGTGCTGTTAGTAGCTTCTCGTTACCTAAAATATCCTGTTCCAATATTTGGGAAGGACCAGTGAATTTTACTGTCTCAGTAAAGCCACATTTTTTTTGTCATGCTCTTCACCTACTGAGGAGATGGTTTAGAGTTGATGTAAGTCGTTAAGAAAGTCCC